AGCTGAGGCAGGTATGGAGCTCAGGCAGATGGGAAAGCGTTGGAAGAAATGGAGAAGGATCTGCTTTAGAAAGCTGAGTTAGCAGGAGGTGGAGGCAGACAGGACTGGTAAAACAGAGCTTCCGTGGCCTTTCTGAAGCTGTGCCCTGTGCCTTACTGCAATTTGCTATTTAATTTCTAGAAACCAGTTTTGGAGGGCTGGAAAGGGGGAGTTTGGATTCCCGCAGCCATTGATTTCATATCTTGCGAATCCTTGCTTTGGAGAAAACTTAATTGCCAACATCAGGCGTTCTCTAGAGCCTCTTTGGAGCCTGAGCTATACTTCAGTTGAGGGTGATGGAGAAATGCTGTATTCTTTTATAGGCAGAATTATGATGTAATGTGCTGGTTGGTTTGATTTTTTTTTTTTTTTTTTTTCCTGGAAATATGCCTTCTTTTTTGCCTTTAATTGTGGTGTGTGTTTGTTTTTTAATACAGAGATGTTGCATTACCTTTCCAGCTGTGAGCCTGTTCTCATATTTCTTATGGCAGACTTGGTATCTTTTTTTGGGGGGTTGTAACCCATTGTGTTATAGGTTTAACAGTAAGCTCTGGTTCACACCTGGAAACTTCTCATCAACTTGCTATAGTCTTCCCCTGAAAACTGTGTCTCTTCTCCTCTGAAATGGGCCTGCTCGCTTCCAAACCAGTTTTGCTTTGTATATAAATCTGAATTTTGAAACTTGGCTTTTATACGGAAGACTTGTTGAAATGTCAGCTATGCTCTTGGTTTTTAGCTACATGCTTTCTACGTGCCTGGATTTGTTTTTTTCTACTTTAGCGCTTAGTGTTGACTCTTTCTTCTTGCAGAAGCTCAGTCAACTTTCTCTCTTACATTAACTAACTGAAAAACATGTTTCCGTATCAGCTGTGCTCTGAGGGTTAGGTCTGAGAGAACTAACAGCACTGAGCACTCTTACTCATGACATGTTACAAGCCCTAATCCAAGGCATAAAGCAGGGAAGCTAGTAGTCAGGGGTCGCTTGTGCAGCTTGAAGCACTACCCTGGAGAAAGAGCAGCCATGGGTGGGATTACCTTTTTGGCTTCATGCTTATTTCCTTGTTTAATTTGGAAAGTAGAGCACTGTTACCCTTTGCAAAATGTGTTTCTTAAAGTATCATCCCTAAAAACAATTTTTTTCATTTGCATGAAAGACATCAGGTTAATTTGGAAATCTGCTGGAAGAGGAGAAGGAGAGCTGTGCATGTGGCAAGGGCGGTTTTGTTTTCCATCAGCTCTGTAGCCAGGCTTTCTAACTGCATAGCTGGTGGGCAGAAGGAAGATAATTTTTTCATGGTGGACCAAGATGAGGTGATTGGTTTGTTTGCAGTTCTGTCAGGTGAATAGTTCCAGCACTGTCTGCTGCTGCAGCCTTCTGGAGCAGCGTTATGCTGCCAACCAAAATTGGCCCCATCCTTCAGTAGTTTCGTTGCTGCCTGCAAATATCTGAGTAGTGGCATTGAAACAAGCCAGTTTTTACTGGCTGCTGCTTGGGCCAGGTTTGCTGTGCTGAAACAGTAGGGCTTTTTGTCTGTAAGGTCAGAAAGACATCGAGAGCATCATCTCAAGCTCAGGAAGCTGCACACATGTCTGTAATGGGTAGAGTCCACTTCTCAATGGAAGGCTAAAACTTTACACAAATTGCTGTCCAAGAACTGTGGACTCATTAAGGAGAGGTTGTGTCTTAAAATTGATTGCCATGTAGTAATCCTCATGGCAGCATATGGAGCAAGTAAAATTATCTCCATTTCCCAAGAACACAGAAGGAATCAGTGTTTTGGTGAGATAAATCTCATAAAATTTTGGCATCTTAAGGCCATGCCAAGTGTGCTTCTCCCCTACCGTGGGGCTTTGTATTTATGATTCCCACCATACTCCCATGGCAGTATATGACAGTAGTGCTGTTCAATAAGATGTCGTTAACCCTCTACTTTTCTCGTAGGTGTATGCAGAATACTTTTGTGGAAACAACTAACTAGACATCTTCACAAAGAAATATATTTGGTGAGAAAGTTTTATTTTAATCAGCTTTGATGTGAATGTATGTGTGGCTGTACTGTTACCTCCAGAGCTTCCTAGCACTTTCATTCAGGGTCCTATAACAGTGTTAATGTTATAAGTGGCTCTTGAATTAGAAATCTTCTTCTAAACCACTTCTTTCTTTACAGTTGTGTAAAATGTTGAAGCTTCTTATGTATTTCATATTCTGACAACATGGCAGTGTGTTTTCTTCTTTAAAACCAATTGAAAGAGTGACTTCCATTTTAATTTTTTTAGTCTGAAGGTTGATAAGTATTTTAATGTGTTATTAAAAAAGATGAGGAGTTATCCCTTATCTCTTGAATGACTAGCATCCTCATAAGCACACAGGAAAAAAAAAACCAAAGTGGTTTACATGTGTACCTGTTTGAAATCTCTTTTAAGATCTGGGTTTGCTTCCACTTCTTAACATGAGAAAATACAAAGCTTATGTATTCATCTGCGTAGATGAGGAAGGAGACTGGAGAGTGCCACTGATAAGCTAGATGCCTGCTTCATGAATGTCCACATGAGTTCTGCCAGGACTCATAGAGATCCCACCTCATTGCATGTGATCATTTAATGCAGGTGTTAAATGAAGCTGGAGACTTTTCCCCAGTGACACAAGACGCTGTCAATTTGGCATCACGGGATGAAAATGTCAAAGAAAGATCTATTTGCTTGCTTTCTTTTTCCCTTTTCTTTTTGGCCAGTCAGCATACTTTGAAGATTCTGAAAAAATGTATCAGAAAAGTTCCAAGGTTCAGGCTTGTGATAAATCTTGTTGCATGTGCTTGCAATGCCAGTAATAATTGTGACTAATGATTCAGTGTGTAGGGGACTTTGAATCTGCAGCTTCCAACTTAAGTTTCCAAAGTTCCTTAATTAATACCACGTCTGAATGACTTAATTCTCTGCACAAAAGTCTTATCCTTGCGCCTCCAGATTGGTGCCTTAGGCATTAGCTGAGTTGTAATCTCTGTTGGGGCTCATGAATTTTGCTTTCTCCTTTGTGGGGACACACCTTCAGCCGGGAGGGTGAAGAGGAACCTCCCTTAGGATATACTGCAGTCTGGTGACCAGGGAACTCCTGCAACGTGGGACATAACGAGCTTGAATCTTATTAGACAAAGGAGGCATTGAACTGTGAGTGAGTGCTTTCACCTTGATGGTATTACGTAAAAGATAGTGAGTGGTTTCTGCTTTTTTTACTCCAATTTTTGAAGAAGAAAATTATATTCCTGCCCTCTTCCAAGACTGGATGAAGTAATCTGCCACCAAGCAGTTATTCCAGGCCTTTGACCTCCAGTCAATAGAAATACCTTAAATCTCTGGAGGGGAGCCAGATTAGAGACATGTTCCTGTGTGTAGTGTTTCCTGCTCACCAGATAGGCTACACCCTGTTTAGCACACGGGATTTTTGGATCACTTTTCAGAGGCTCTTAAATCTCCTGATGTGTTAAATTTGATACAAGGATGCATGACGCAGGCTGTAACCTAGATATCTTAAAATTTTCTGCTTAAGTCCTTTGTTGGGTCTCGGTCTTGATTCTGTGATTCACCAGAGAGCTTCTACAGAAAAACAAAAGGACTTGAATTGCACTTTGTGAGCTCCAGTGTGCTAAATTCTGTTTAGGGTCAAGCTGTGAGCTTTTTCTGACAGTGATATGATTCTGTTTTCACTTGCACTGATGTAGTAGGAAAACGGTGAGTAAAACCTCACAAGCTGGTTAGGCACATCTCTTGCAGCATCCCTGGAGTGCTTCCAGGCACCTGTAGAACCACACTTCATTCAGTAGTTCTCAACTTTCTGAGCTGCAGACCACTGAAGGCTCACTTCTGTGTAGAACAAATTCAGTCCAACAGTGACTTATTTCCCTTAGCTGCTCTTCTCAGGCCCACGTGGCACTCCATTGACTTCTGGGGTCTGATGGCAGCAGGTTACCAGTGCGTGAGCTGTAGAAGATAGACCGCTGTGGTCCATGTAGTTGTAAGAGAGTGAAGTATTTCCAAGGTTTAGAAGGAGTTGCAGTTGTGTTAAATCACTGCATGTGAGTGATGTTTTGTGTAATACACATTTTTAAAAGTCGCTTGTGGTCAAGAGTTGCATAACCCTGAGGTTCTAGGAAAGGTAGCAGGGGAGGGAATGCCTAATCTTATCACTTTATGTAGTGCTGTGATTTTATATGTTTGGGTTGGGTTGGTTTTGGGTTTTTTTTTTTAATACTTTTATCGCTAAACTAGAAACGCTGCTGCGGAACTCCCATGCCCCAATACATTGCTGTGCTCATTTAGCTTTGCAGGAACTGGAAGAAAATCTGACAGCAGCCTGAACTAGATTACGGAGAGTTATGAAAGCATCTTTTACCTGCACAGTTTGCCAGTCTTACTCTTATTCTTTCCATTGGGCAGGTCTCACCTTAATTAGATATTTGCGTGGTGCTTAGCATGACAGATCCTCAGTACTTCATTGGCGCTGTATCTGCTCTCAGTGCTGCTGTGTACAATATCTTCTTAATAGCAGAAAATACTAAAACTTGTGTGGAGCCTTGTCACACTTTCTAGTGTTCTGCCATGTTCAAAACTGGTAACTTATTCCAGCTCCCCTCTAAGCTTGTTGATGATCCCTGACAGTGTTTTGTCTTTCCTGGTAAAATTAAATAACTTTTCTGAGCCTTTTATTAGGAGTTGTTGATGGAAACTTTTCGGAAGCTCAAACAAGCAATTTCATCAGGGTTTCTTTTGGGAGTTACATGCCGGCTATATACAAATATATTATCAGAGGTAGTTCTTTGTAAAAACTAATTTATCTCTGGCTTTACTCTTTTGCATCTCCCTTGAGCCCGCTTTAAAACTGTTTTGGTGACTTTTTTTATTCCTTTGTTTCAAGTAAAACTTGCTAGGTTGTGACTTTTATTGTACCTTTTTTAGGACCTTCCCTCATGCAGCAAATAAAATCCTTCCAAATTCCTGATAGAGTTATCTTAATGAACAAAATGGCCACGTGTTAAGTAGAAACGTAGTTGCTTCATCTTTGTACAGATGTTTTGATCAAATAATGTCAGGCCTGTCAGTTTCTTACAGCACCTGCTTTCTCTTTCTTACAGTGCTTGATATTTTTGTTTCAAGCTGGAAAAAAGCAACAACTAACATGTAACTTCACATAGTGAGGACAAAATCCTTGTATTTCTTCCAGCTTACATTAGATGAATGCAAAGAAGTCGTGTAGTACCTGAATCCAGTCCTTTCTCAGAACCTGATTGCTCTTGGTTGCTCCCGGTGATCGGTTGGGCTCTTTTTTGTTTCTCTTTTTCTTTTTTTTTTTTTCTCTTGACTTACTGACCTGTGATTAAATAAAATGACAAGGAATTCTATAATTGATACTTTTCAAATTGCCTCTTAGCCCTCATGTACTTAGTTGTCCATCTTGGTGTGTTGCTGCTCACTTTCCTATTTCTTAGCTTCAACGTTTGCGTTTCTGGCTTCTGAGAGGTACTTGTTCGGCATTGCTATCAAATCGGCCACCCTGGTAATAGGGTTTTTTTGCTCGCTTTCCTGTTCATCTTCTTGTGTAAAGGTACCTATGTTTTCTGAGTCGTGAACTGATACCCTAAATGCTGATTGTGAGGACTCTCTTAATATTCAATTTAGGCTTGCTTCACATCCAAAGCTCTATCGTGTAGTGTGTGGGTGCTGGTTTTTACTGTGATGTTTTGACTTCAAAATTATACTGCGAGGGTTTTAGCTGCTGTTTTCCAGGTGAGTCTTCCCACCCCTCAAGTTCTGCTTCTGCCTCCTCATTCCTTGTTCAGATCCCAGCCATTGTTTTCTCACCCAGAAGAGGTATGGAAAGATCTGGGCACGGCAAGACAGGCTGGAATTATTTTTGTGGTGGTCGGTGACTCCTGGAAGAAATTAATTGATTTAAAGGCTTGTGTATATGTACAGGCAGAAGGGATCTGAGAGGTCACTGGCAGGAAGATGGAAGGATGCTGAGTGGTATAATGCAACCTGTTTTTCTTTCTCTTATTCCTGACCTTAGTGCCTGCTGAGGAGGTAAAGCAGGATTGGCAGGAGGGCTCTTGGGGGACACGCAGGACTTAACACCGAGGCACACTTTAGTAGGGGACGGAAGCAGGAGGGTAAACCTGGACTTAGATAGCGGTTTCTTCCCCTACAAAAGGAAAATGCAGTAAGCAGAGCTGCTGATCTGAGCTTTCTCCTGTGCTTCCCCTCACTGTCAGTGACTGCTGTTCTAGAACTGCTCTAGGAAACAGCTTTTGGTGTAAAGAAATCTTCTTTCTGAGATGTTTTAATTGGAAGGTTTGTGTAGAATTGAAACAGTCTGTCACCACACGGTGTATGCAGTACCACTACAAGATAAAATGAGTGGTTTTGTTACATTTCTTCCATCTTGTTTTCATGGCGTTTATTCGAATTCTGCTGCAAGGACTTGTTTCTTTAAAGTATGGTATTCCAGGTACTAACTGATCTTACAGGCGTGCTGCTGTTGTTTTTCTAGTGCCCACCATCTTCATGATCATTGGGCTTTGCTTTTTTAGTATATAAACTATTGTATGACAGTGGCTCTTTTCTTCTCATACTGTTTTTATTCCTGATTGCTTTTTAGGTTTGAGATGTACTTGATGTGGGGTGGCAGCTCTCACCAAGCCTGCTGACCTGGTGGAGGGCTCCTTTTTCAAGTATTAAGTCTGGTTGAAGAATACAAAAGCACAGTCTGAAAATGAAATAGAAGTA